AAAGGAAAAAAGAACGTAACAGAAAACATGATATAATATAAACAGTGATGTAATATATACAATGGTGTCACAGGATGGCATGATGAGATATAGGCATGTTTATGTCAGTCGTGCGACTGGCATAACAGGAACACCCCATGAAATTTTGTTTCATTTTTTCTTCCATGTTATCTTTATTGTTCTGAACGTGTATAATTGATGCTGTTGTAGGACCATTGGGATGAATCATAATTTGGAAGTCAAAACTTTCATTAGTTTTTATTTTCCTGTTTTGTAAAACTTCTTCCCTAAACTGCATTTTTAGAGAAGAGTAAAAGTTATATACTCGAAAATTGCTGAATCCGTTATAACTGTCAAACTATGTTTATCTAACTTTAATGTTATTAAGGGGGAGGGGGACAACATTGTTTAAGTAGTCAGTTTTTTTCTCAGCTAAATAATGTGAGCAAGCTGAGAAAACTTCAGAACATATACTTCGAAGTACCCTCTACAAACTGGGAGGGGTTGAAGAAAAAGAACCAAAGCTTGACAATATAGCCGGTTTTTTTCTCACCTTATATGGCTACTTTCGTTCGAAGCAAGCATTTTGAAGCAAAACTCTGTGTATAAAAGTTGTTCAGAATCGAATTCTGCAGTCCCTAACAACAGGCTTTTTTAAAATTATCCTTTTTCGGTTTTTAAATTGAAAAATATGAAATTTTAAAATTATCCAAAACCTTTTCCAAAAAGGTGAATTTAAAAGAGCTATCGATAGGGACTGAACAACTTTTATACCTAGAGTTTCAAAATACTTGCTTCGAACGAAACTAGACGTAATGCAAGGTGAAAAATACTTATGGCCATAAAACTTCCTTCCGAAGTTGAACGTTAAATTTCTACGTCAAATTTCATTCCAGAACGATGAAATTTCCAGACTTGACTTTGAACAACTCGATCTTCATAGTTAAAAACAGGAAAAATCATTTTTCACCACGTAGAACGTCTTCCAGAAACCTCGTCCCAGAATATAAAATTTAAAGCAGTAAATTTTCTATATGCTTGAATCTATACTCGGCTACCAAAAATGCTTCCTTTAAGTAGAAAAACGATTTGAGTTGACTGGTGGTTACAAGATAGTACCAATACCAGCAATATTGGTAACGATAGGTATTGGTATCGTTAAGTAGCTAATACAAACTGTAGTGACTGAAATACAAATGAAGAACCTATTTCAAAAATCACGTTCATTGTAAAAATCAAAAAATTTATTTCTCCGAACATGCGAGAAGCATGAGGGAGTACGGTAAAATCGGACAAATGTGTGGGGAGAGTGGTCTATCAATCAAAATATTCACCGGACTTCCTTTATGGACATCAGTTTTACACCGTCGAACAGTATTACAAATATACTTTTACCTGTGTTAAATATACATATAAGTATGGCATTTTATTCAGCACGTGCTGATGCTGCACTAAGGCCTACAAAGCAAATTATTGCACCTTTTCCCGTAAAAGAAATTGTGCCAAGTTCTAAGAGTGGCGCGAATGTTATTTATAAATTTCAAAACTATGAAGCTACAACGATGATATATTTTTGGTGTATGACAACAGAACTTACATCGTATAAATCAATTAATCTTACAGCATTAGAAAAATTTCGTGTTTTAGTTGATAAGACACAAAGCTGGACATTTCAAGCTTTAGAACTTTATCGAGTAGATCCATCAATAAATGGTACACATACGTGTATGTAGAAAACTTTAAATAATAGCGAAAGACAATTTCATCTTATTTTAACCCAAATACAAACTTCAAACTAATTCATTATTGTTATTATTCCAAGACATATACTTTTCTGCTAGT